ACTGTCAGAATATTCCTATTTCTCCACATCCTCTCCAGCATCTGTTGTTTCCTGACTTTTCAAATGGTTGCCTTTCTAACTGTTGTGAGATGGTATCTCCCTGTGGTTTTCATGTGCATTTTTCTAATGACCCGTGATGCTGAGCTTTTGTGTGTGTGTGTGTGTGTTGGCTACATAAATGTTTTCTTTCGAGAAGTGTCTGTTCCTATCCTTGGCCCACTTTTTGATGGAGTTGTTTTTTTCTTGTAAATTTAAGTTCTTTGTAGATTCTAGATATTAGCCCTTTGTCAGATCAGTAGATTGCAAAAATTTCTCCAATTCTATAGGTTGCCTGTTCACTCTGATGATAGTTTCTTCTGCTATGCAGAAGCTCTTTACTTTAATTAGATCCCATTTGTCTATTTTGGCTTTTGTCGCCATTGCTTCTGGTGTTTTAGTCATGAAGTCTTTGCCCGTGCCTATGTCCTGAATGGTATTGCCTAGGTTTTCTTCTACAGTTTTATGGTTTTAGGTCTTATTTTTAAGTCTTTAATCTATCTTGAGTTAATTTTTGTATAAGGCATAAGGAAGGGATCGAGTTTCAGCTTTCTGCATATGGCTAGCCAGTTTTCCCAACAGCATGTATTAAATGGGGAATCCTTTCCCCATTGCTTGTTTTTGTCACGATTGTCAAAGATCAGATGGTTGTAGATGGGTGGTGTTATTTCTGAGTCCTCTGTTCTGTTCCATTGGTCTATATATCTGTTTTGGTTATCAGTACCATGTCCAGCAATATTTTCTATGTTTAATAAATGTCAGATCACCTCAAATATAACCAAAATATTAATTTTAAAAGTCTAAAATGTTTAATATTGATAAGATAGCATTACACGTATTTTTAGAAATTGCTGCTTTAATATCTCTCCAAGGAGATTAACTTTTCTCACAAAGAATTTTAATTATAACATTATAAATTAAAATTTTTGTTTTTAAATCTAAAAATCATTCTCTAAAATGCTGTTACTTGCAATGAACACATGGCAAAGGTGTCATCAAATGTCTTATGGGTTATTTATTATATTATCATGTAGTCTAGCCAAATGTTGCTATCAAATATGTCATAAAAAACAATGTTAATTTTTATTTCTGCATGCTGAGATTTTCTAGTTTCTAGTTAGAAGGGTACTGCTATACAAGTCCCTCACCATCCCTCACCCTAAGGGTAGGGATGCCAACCCATTCCCATACTTACGTGTCTAATCCAGTGTCCTAATCTGCTTATCTTCCTCTATCATTATTTAACATATTCACTTAAAAAACTATCCTGCCGGCCGGACGCGGTGGCTCAAGCCTGTAATCCCAGCACTTTGGGAGGCCGAGGCGGGTGGATCACGAGGTCGAGAGATCGAGACCATCCTGGTCAATATAGTGAAACCCCGTCTCTACTAAAAATACAAAAAACTAGCTGGGCGTGGTGGCGCGTGCCTGTAATCCCAGCTACTTAGGAGGCTGAGGCAGGAGAATTGCCTGAGCCCAGGAGGCAGAGGTTGCGGTGAGCCTAGATAGCGCCATTGCACTCCAGCCTGGGTAACGAGAGCGAAACTCCGTCTCAAAAAAAAAAAAAAAAAAAAACTATCCTGCCATCCCAGATTTAGTTATACAATTTCTACCATCCTCTTCTAAGTACGTACTGGCAAATTCAATGTTTAGAGATGTGCTGTAGAACAACAACAACAACAAAAATTGGGAAAGATAAACCCATAAAACTGAAGGGTATGTTTTTGTACTTCAAAATAACATTTCAAAAAATGAGTCAACTAAAATGTTTAAGAAAAAATATTCAGTGGTTCAAAGGGAGTCCTTTTTAACTACTATAAATTAAACTGAAAAAGAAAAATACTGAATGTTACTCATAAAAAATTTACAGTCAAGTGTATTATTTGACTAAATCTTACTGACCTATAATATAAAAAATTCACTCAGTCCAGCAATATAGGGGCATTCTGAAGCTCTATCAGTCTAACATAATTTTGAAACCATGATTTGTTTTTTTTGTTTTTCTGCTGTTTCAATTCTACTGTAACAATTTGAACAGAATCTATTTCAGACCTTCAAGGTCATTGACTTCTTGGTTAAAAACAAATTACAAATCAATTAAACACGAATTTTTCATTCTATTTTCATCTAGCTAAAAATGGCAACCCAAAGCACTTCAACCATCAACCTTGCTTGTGATGTACGTAAACATTTCAAAGTAAAAAATCTTGAACTAACAACATTAAGAATAACTGGAAAGTTCTGTTGTATTTATTTATACTAACAACATTTTACGATCATTTCTTCAGGCAAAATAAAGTTGTCCCCATCAGATGTTTATCCATATCATCTCTTGATTTTGCCTCTTTCTCTCAGTTTTAGTCTCTTCCCTTATTTCCCTCCGATTTCTGGACTATGTAGTCACCGTTTATTTTCTAATCCTCAACTTGTCCTTTGTTTTTCATCCTTAAATCTGCAATTCTACTTCAGTTCTTCAATCCATACCTTCCCCCAAACAATCTAAGAACTGATGGAGAAAACTTATGCAAGTTGTGTAGATCTGTTCAATAAAAATATAAAACTGATAATCTCACCTCTGTCCCTTGACATATTTACCTATCACTAACTTACCTTCTTCAGTTAGATCCTCTCCTAATCCGATTCATAGGCTATCAAAAGCTTTTCCTATTTCATCAACTGTCTACCCTATAGCCCACTTAATTCTCAGTACATGACCTGAGCTCATACTTTACAGCCAGCTGTGACAATTATACAGAAATGCCATTTCTTGCCTCCGGTCAGATAGTAATAAGTTACTATTGGAGGCCATATCCTTGCTTCCTTCCTTTCAATTTACAGAAAGAAATATCCCTCATTCTATCTAAAGCATTCTGTCCTGGATAATATTGGCCCATCATTCATCCTTTTGCTCAAGTCCCTTATATAAAACGATGTACTTATGCACATCATTCCACATGTTTTAAATTATCCCTAGATTACTTATAACACCTAACACAATGAAAATGCTATGTAAATAGTTGTCATACTGTATTGCTTTTTGTGTTTTTTTAAATTGTTGCTTTGTTATCTTTTATTTTTTTCCAAATTATTTCTGAACCAAAGTTGGCTGAATCCATGTATCTGGAACCCATGAATATGAAGGGCCAACTGTATATCCAACTGCTTAAACTCCACCTGAACATTCTTGAGATATCTCAAGTTAACTAATCATTTTTCACATTTTTCTCTAATCTTATTATTTGTTTCTTTTTTTGTTTTTGAGACGGAGTCTTGCTCTGTTACCTGGGTTGCAGTTCAGTGGCAAGATCTTAGCTCACTGCAACTTCTGCCTCCCAGGTTCAAGCAATTCTCCTGCCTCAGCCTTCCAAGTAGCTGGGATTATAGGGGTGTACCACCACGCTCAGCTAGTTTTTATATTTTTAGTAGAGACAGAGTTTTGCCATGTTGGCCAGGCTGGTCTTGAACTCTTGACCTTAGGTGATCTGCCCACCTTGGCCTCCCAATGCCTTTTTAAGTTCATCAGGCAACACCAAAATTAACCAAAGTACTCAGTAACTAGAGTGTCATTCTAGAATTTTCTGTTTCTCTTACCGTTGCTCTGCATCCAACAATTGGAAATTCTTTGAATTTACTTCTTAATTTTTTTATTTCACACCCTCATGACCACTGTTTAGTTCAGGCTTTTAACTCTCTTGGATTATTTTAGATAGCTCTCACTCCCCTAAATGATTTCCATTCTCTGGTCTCAATTTCTCAAATCCATTATCTATAGAACTGTTATAATTAACTTACTGAAAAGAAATCAGATCATTTCTTTTTACTTGAAACACTTTATTACCTCTTTAGTCACTTTCTAAAACCTTTTATGATATGACTACTAACTCTGCCTTCCTCCCTCCAATCCCTATGCCCCTAATTTAAAAGAGAAAACAAGACCAAACCAATGTTTCAAACTCTCTTGAACACATACCTGTGCAATTTAAGGTAACTGTTTGTACAGTTTATTCTTTTGCCAGAACAGCCTTCCTTTGGTGTGCATACCAGATAACCTTAAAATGGGGCTCTGGTATCTCTTTTCTGAAACCTTTCTTTTATGACGACCATTCCACAGTGATCTCCACAATGTAGAGTTAATTGCTTCTTCCTCTAGCCTATCCCTGTAACCTGTACTTGTTCCTAATACTCTATTATATTACATAGTTGACCTTGCTATAAAAACTCAGAATTTGTGTTTTTATAATGCATGATTCATGCAGAAATACACTACATTTGATACATGACTTTACCATAAAATAAAAGCACATTGAAGGCAAGTATAGAAAACACTTTTACAAATTTTGAAAGAATGAACCAGGAATCCTTAATCAGAAATGAATACTATGCATTCAAAGGAAAAAAAATCACCTAAACAGCTCACATAGAAAAAAAAAAGATACTCTAAAAATGCACAGAGGTTAAGAGGACAGAATTTTTGTCCAAATATACATATGATACTTAACAGAGTGCCTTAAAAACAACTGTATGTTTTTTTAAGTTAACTGCTGTTATAACTAACAATATTATTATTAAATTAAATAACTAGACTTGGATGAATTAAAAATTGTTCTAGGTCATAAGTACTTTTGGTCCTGGTACTAAGAACTGTAGATTCCACCAAACTCTTTCGTGTTTTTAAGGAAAAAAAAAATCACCTAAGAGTGATTTCTTATTACACTAGTAAATGTGATAAATAATAACTACACTTTGTTACTTCCTAAGAAATTTTAATGGTACTTTCGCTAATGCAAATCATTTCATCAACAAGAAATTCTACTGAAGAGATTTACCAACCTCTACTTGCTAGAAGTTTCCTTCTTACCACACAGTAAAACAAATGCATCAGATGATTAACACAGCAAAATGCCAGGAAATTCTTTTCCTACAAATTTATAAGTTCTAAAACAATTGATATAAGCTGCTTTTACCTTCAGGAGCATCTGCATCACATCTCTTTGGCACAAAAAGAGTTGAATTGCCTTTACGGTTATCAGAAGTTACATTAGTCTGAAAGATAAAAATGTAGTTAAAATGTAAAAACCACATTAATAAATACAATTGGAATTAAAAAGTAAGCACACTATGTACTGTATACTGTTTTCTACTAACTACATCTACCTAACATTCTAAAATGTAAATTTTATGCAACATTGCTCTTAGAAGAAAAATGATTATAGTAAATTAAATATTACAGCTTTTTGCAATAATACTTTAGGTACTGTGCTGAACAACAGGACTTCCCAGAACAAACAAATTCCATTTTTAGTACAAGTACAGCATCTGAAAAGAACGCTATTTTCAGACTGTTGAACATGCAAAGAATATCTTTTGTCCAAGCAAAAGCATAATCTTCCTTCAATCCTTCACAGGAGGATGTTTAATAATCATGACCTAGTGAGCTAGGTGAAGGGGATGAGGCAAGAAGAGAAAAAAAAGGTATAAGAAGTGAGAAATATGGTTCATGCGACTTTCCAAACTCAGGTCATTCATGTACCTCCATCATGATCTGTGCTTTACCTGTTTCGCCTACATTATAACTTACTATTTTTCAATGAAATAGCCCTTTAACACTCAACAACATTATGGATGATAGTGATTGAGGGTTGATATGTTTGTTAGATTTTTCTTTCTAACTGCATGTTAAAGTAAAGACAGAATGGAGGACATAGAGGATAAAAAAGAAACGATCTGGGCACACCGATTTTAATAATGAAAGACTCCACTAAAGCAATTCTTGAACAGGCCCTGAAACATAAATATGGTTTGAACAGTTAAGAAGTAGAGCAAGAGGTATTTTAAAAAGGAAACAAACTAAACAAAGCTTGAATCAGATATGGTCAGAATATTTTGAATTGTCAGAAAATCCAAACTTACTGTTCCATTAAAACTAAAAACCACAGTTGGCTTTTGAGAGATCAATAGCATCAGTAAATCAGCAGAACATATATGAGGATATCCATCATGTTAAAATAATGTCTAGTTATCTATAAATAAAATGTTTATAAAGCCTCTTCTAGAGGATTCATAGTGCCAATGAACAGACCTGCTGTGCTCACTAAAACTTTTTTTTGGGAGCCATATTATTAAAATTACTAAAAATGTTATTTTAGAGGAGTATTATGAGTTTTAATAAAGTGCTAAGGTAAAGCTCAGTAGCTTAGCACCACGGGACACATTTAAGGAACTATTATAATGAAATTCTGTGTGTTGTTTCAAAAAAAAAAAAAAACAGTATGAAACAAATATAAATATGCTAAAAACTATAAATAAAAAACCAGTTTTAGCAATATTAAATTTAATCTGATAAGCTAATACCTTTTGCTAACCACTACAACTAAAATTTGACTTTAAATCTCACTATCTTTAAAATACCAAAATAATCAAGTTTTAAGTATTTCACTTACCTCTATTAAGTAATTTTGGCTTCCATACATAACATATTGGGGAGCAAGACTATAAATCATGTAGCTAGTGTGAAGGACAATAAGCAGAAGTATCATGCAGAGAAACAGGAGTGCTTGGGGCCTGGTTCTACCTCTTCTGATTTTATATAACTGGAAAGAAAAGAATGACAAAATTTCAACAATATATTTCACTGGTAAAGCATTCATTCCTGTTCTTGTATTATGAGAAATCATTTACAAAGTTCAATCAACCATTTTTTTTCTTCCAAAATATATTCTAAAAATTCTTAATCATCCCCCAAAATTTTAAGACTATGCACATGGTCTATTTCCAGAGAAATCTTCTAAACTTATTGTGTAAAAGCATCTGTTACATGTTCATGGAGCTAACTGTGAATTATCTCTAGTACTAGCTGAAGATTAGGAGTATGACTTTAAACTATAAGTATTAGTAATATGCAACAATTTTATATAATTTTTAATATAATGTTGCTTAAGAATAGACAATGTAATGTGTTTGTAAACATCCATTTCTATGAAATACTCATGTCATCCTTATACTTTGCCATAAAAATTAGTTTATGAAACATTCTGATATATTTACTAAAGACATTTTCACATGTATCTATACTCAAGAGAAATGAAAACACATGGTAACTGAAACATACAGAACCAGGCAACTTGCTTCATTTCAAAAGCATAGCATGCTTTTATTTTAGCAACTTAAGTATCACCTCCCTGTTTTATTACTAGATTGTAATACATGACATTGTACACTAATGTAGTACAGACTCCAATTCTAGATGGGAGATGACAATAAGATCACTTATAAATTTACATGTCCCAGGTTCTTTCACAGCAAGTAGTGGCATGTGATATTAAACATGAAAAGGAAAGCAGAAGTCTGCTAAGGATTTCTGTAAAAGTCTTGTTTTATTGATATAGTTGTATACTCCTTTCTCCTAACTACCTTTTTATTTTACAGAATATGAACATGATAAAGGAAACTGCAGCAGTCATACAACAATCATGACAGAGACACTCAAAGAATTACAGAGATATTGGACCTGACTTTTTTGAGCTTCTGAAGCAATACTAGATTCTTTTTTCCCTTAGCAAGAAAACTTTCATTAGTTCAAGCCACTATTCAACTGAGTTCTCTTTTATTCACAGCTGGAAGTAGTGTCTACCTGATATAGCTTCATTTTAAAATTGTTAATTCATCTCAAAATAAGTATAAGAAGAAAATAACCAATGACATGGTAATCTTTAACTATAATAGGCAGGGCTATCTTTTGGGCTTCAGTGTATCTATTGTATTCTAATGTGTTTCTGTTAAGAAATTATATAACTTTTGGACCAGGGTTTCTCAACCATGGAACTACTGACATTTCAGGCTGGGTAAGTCTGTCCTGTGCACTACAGGACTTTTAATAAGAATCTCTGGCCCCTACCCACTACCTGCCAGTAGCACTCCCCAGTTATAACAACTAAAAATATCTCTAGATACTGCCAAATGTTTCCGTGGGGTAAAATCACCCTTGTTTAAGAACCACTGCTCTAGATAAAAAGTACTTTTAGGTCAACATGAAGTGAAAAGGCTAGTATTTCTTTCACTTGTGGTATAAAAATACAGCTTCTATATTCTAAATCTAAGATAATTTGCAATAATGAAGATTACACACAAAATGAAAAAAAAAAACCGTAAAATATACTTACTCTAATCCAAAAGAACCATATGCCAATATTTCGAATTCCTGCCATTGAAGTAAAAATAAAGTACATAATAATAATTGTTATAAGAATATAATCAAGAGGGAAAACCTGAAAAAAAGATGAAATTAAATTTAGCATATAAACTATAAGCACCCTAACAGTCATATAAAATAAACTAAAAACCTCATTATTGTTTACAACATTGACCTTGATTTAGATTAGGCTACTGTGTTTAAAAAAAATCCTCAGAAAACAAACAAGTACCAAACTATTAAAAAAATTTTTAATACCATTATCCTAAGAAAAATCCTAAAGCAAATTAAACTACAACTGCATTTATCTATTAAATAAAAAACAATTAAACATTAATATAAAAAATAATTTAGAGAACGTCACCTTATATTTTATAATATATCTCAAGTCAAATTATGTCTAACATAAAAGTCCAGGGATATATCAATATAATGATATTTAAAGCAACATGTCAATGTATAAATTATAGGCAAATAAAAGTAAAACTATTGAAGAATATAAGCATATGTCAAGCTACTAATAGGTTTTTAGCATAATAATTTTATATGGAACAGAATGTCAGAATGTTTGCTAGACTCTAGCATTTTATATTCTAGCAGCTACAGTATAAAATGATTGGTATTTTACTTACTGTTTGTAACAAAGGCAAAAGCATATTCAGTGGATTACTCAGGTTAGCTCCAAAAATTATGAAACCAGAATCTATTCCAGCTGAATGAAGAGCTTTATCTAAACTAAAAAAAAAAAAATAGAAAGAATGAAATTTCTGTTATACTATCACATTTTTAGCAAATTTAGAAAAAATATCATAATTTAAGCATGAAAATACATCTGAGTCAAATCAAACAATGGATAACAAATTAAACCACATTAAATATCTCATAGATATTGTTCAATTGATGAAGAATAAAGAAATACTCTATTACTGAATGTTTTAGCCATTCTTTAATAGAACACTTCAAGAAAAAAAAGCTACTGAAGATGAATAGCCTACACTAATGGCATTCAGCACCAAAATGTATATTATCACAGAATTTGTATAAGTGCTTTAGAAAATGTGTCTACTGTACTTACTTTGACAAGAAGAGAGAAATTACAAACAGCAATGCAACTAAGATGAAAAATATTCCCCAGATGATCTAAAAGCAAATATATATTCATTAAAATATAGTTATAAAAGTTGATATTAAAAGCACAAACCATTATACTCAATATTAGTTGCTAGAATATGACAATGACATAATAAAAACGATCTAAAATACATTTTAATTTAGTATACAATTCCAGTCACTTATATCTGAATTTTCATTATGAAACTACTTGACTGAGAACATGTACATAAAAGAGACAAACCATTTGGTCTTCATTAATAAGTAAAAAAATGGAACTCTTTGCTAGACCAAATACAAGGATTTATTCTATTACACTGAAATGAGACTTTAATGTTGACTGAAAAGTACATTATGACTAACACACAGACACACAGACACACATACACACACAAATGCACACACACACACATGCACACACACCCCAAAACTGTAAAATGCAGTTTATATTACCCTGTTAAAATAGAAAATTCAGAACATTTTTTCCATTGAAGTAATAATATATATAAATAATATATATAGTGGTTAAATTATAATCCAGAAAAGCCTATACAAATGATATATTCCTGAAACAGTGCTAACAACACTGAAACAACTGGCATGCAAAATAATGTTTCTGTGGAAAAATGTCCTAACCACTGTAAGTAGTAAAACACCTTTCTCCCAATTGTATGAACTTTATTTTAAGATGGTAGAAAAAGAGGAAGAAAAATATTATAACTGAGTCTCTAATGAAAAGTTTCAGAATATAAAAGAGGTGAAATCTTCCCCAAGTTCCAGAGACAACTGTGCTAAAGAGTTGGCAAGGCCAGACCAAAAAAGGGAAGTCTCAGTAAGCACAGTTAAGTGTGTTGGGCTCCTCCTTTAACCGGAATAGATATAAATAGATCAATGAATGTTATGAAATCATGAGTGGTAGGGAGATTTTTTCATCTCATTTCACATGACTATTGAAGTAAATCTTAGAATCCTGATAGAATAGAATAAGTAACACAGGAACCTACCTAGCCTGAAAAGAAGATTTTTTGAAGTAATTTTGGACCTGTGCTCTGGGGAATTCTTCCGTTATGACAAGCTGCCTTTGGGGCTCACTGGGAAGAAGAGAGCTGACAATGAGAGGGGACCAAGAAGGCTACAGTCATCTCTTGAAAACAGAGTTATATTGCATATACTATTTTTCATGCTGGGATTCCACGAAAGAATTCATTATTTAAAAAGGGTTTCATTGCAAAAGATTTTGAAGTGACTCCTTTATAGTAACAAGTGTTCATTGATAGAGGGTATAAAGGAGTTATCCAATTTTTTTTTCTACCAGATTCAGGCATCTATATTTGGTACTGTGGTGAACTAAAAGGCAACAGCCTTATACTTATGATTCTCAAGTGAAACACATTTCTTCCTAACAGTTGTTAACAAAAAACAGTTTGTAACATGAGGCAGTATAACTACCAAGTACCAATTAGTAGTAGAAGAACATGATATAGAAAGCATTTGAAGTTAAGATTCCCTTCCTTTGATGTCCATTTTGGCAAAAAAAAAAAAAAAAAAAAAAAAAAGAGGTTAAAAATTAAAAAAAAAAAAACAACTTCTTAGCTATCTTCCCAATTTGTAGAGATGACTGACTCAGAGTTAAACTGCTTATTCAGTGACCTAACAGAACACAGAAAAAATGTAAAATATATAAGCATTTTATAAAGACCAAGAAAACTATACATATTTACTAGAACTTAAATTATTAGTTACAGAATCATATTAGTGATGACTACATTGGATTGACCTAAATGCTATATATTACATTCTAGCTGTAATGCCAATTTGAAAATAAAAACTATAGAGGTAACATCAATAAAAATGGAGTAAGAACTGAACATTTTATCCTCCATAAAAGCAGATTCCAAGAAAAATCAATGGGGAAAGAAGAGCCTTTTTAACAAATAGTTCTGGGGCAAGTAGACACTCACATGCAAAAGCTTATATCCTTACCTCACACCATATAAAAATTAATTCAAAATGGACCAAAGACCCAAATGTAAGAGCTACTAAACTATAAAAACTCTTAATAGAATACAGGTGACCTCTGGATTAGACTAAGATTTTCTAGATAAGATACCTAAAACACAAGCAACAGAAGAAAGATTGGACTTTGTCTAAATTAAAAATTATTTTGCTTCAAAGGATACTATAAGGAAAGTAAAAAGCTAACACAAAGAATAGGAGAAAATATTTGTTTTGTGAATATAAAGAACTCTTACACCTTAATAATAAGAATACAATCCAATTGAAAAAATTGGGCAAAGAATTTGAATATCCATTTCTTATTTTTTTTTTTTGAGACAGAGTTTCGCTCTTGTTACCCAGGCTGGAGTGCAATGGCGCGATCTCGGCTCACCGCAACCTCCGCCTCCTGGGTTCAGGCAATTCTCCCGCCTCAGCCTCCCGAGTAGCTGGGATTACAGGCACGCACCACCATGCCCAGCTAATTTTTTGTATTTTTAGTAGAGACGGGGTTTCACCTTGTTGACCAGGATGGTCTCGATCTCTTGACCTCGTGATCCACCCACCTCAGCCTCCCAAAGTGCTGGGATTACAGGCTTGAGCCACCGTGCCCGGCCGAATATCCATTTCTTTAAAGAAAATATAAAACTGGCCAATAAGCATCTGAAGAGATGCTTAATATCATTCACTAGAGAAATGTAAATTAAATCCACAGTGTGAACTGGAGAAATGTGAACCAAATTGCTTCACGCTCACTAGGATGTCTATAAACAAAAAAAATTAACAAGTGTTTATCAGGCTGTGGAGAAATTGGAACGCTCATATAGTTCTGGTGGGAATGTAAAATGGTGGGAATGTAAAATGGTGCAGATGCTTTAAAAATCAGCCTGACAATTCCTCAAAAAGTTATTACCCAGCAATTCCAGTCTTTGGTATATACCAAACAGAACTGAAAACATCTATCCACACAAAAATTTGTATATAAATGTTCACATTAGCATTTTTTTATAATACTAAAAAATAAAAATCCAAATGTCCATGAGTTAATAAACTGATAAACAAAATGTAGTATATCCATACAATGGAATACTATTCACTACAAAAAGGAATGAAATAATGCCACATGCACATGAACAAATCTTTAAAAACATTTATGCTAAATGAAGATAGAAAATATCACATATTACAGGAAGAGGACGAAAAAAATAACTGTCCGCGACGCCGAGACGAACTGGACCCACAGCCACCATGAGCAGCAAAGGTCAATATCCAACACAGCCAACCTACCCTGTGCAGCCTCCTGGGAATCCAGTATACCCTCAGACCTTGCATCTTCCTCAGGCTCCACCCTATACTGATGCTCCACCTGCCTCCTCAGAGCTCTATCGTCCGAGCTTTGTGCACCCAGGGGCTGCCACAGTCCCCACCATGTCGGCCGCATTTCCTGGAGCCTCTCTGTATCTTCCCATGGCCCAGTCTGTGGCTGTTGGGCCTTTAGGTTCCACAATCCCCATGGCTTATTATCCAGTCGGTCCCATCTATCCACCTGGCTCTACAGTGCTGGTGGAAGGAGGGTACGATGCAGGTGCCAGATTTGGAGCTGGGGCTACTGCTGGCAACATTCCTCCTCCACCTCCTGGATGCCCTCCCAATGCTGCTCAGCTTGCAGTCATGCAGGGAGCCAACGTCCTCGTAACTCAGCGGAAGGGGAACTTCTTCATGGGTGGTTCAGATGGTGGCTACACCATCTGGTGAGGAACCAAGGCCACCTTTGTGCCGGGAAAGACATCATATACCTTCAGCACTTCTCACAATGTAACTGCTTTAGTCATATTAACCTGAAGTTGCAGTTTAGACACATGTTGTTGGGGTGTCTTTCTGGTGCCCAAACTTTCAGGCACTTTTCAAATTTAATAAGGAACCATGTAATGGTAGCAGTACCTCCCTAAAGCATTTTGAGGTAGGGGAGGTATCCATTCATAAAATGAATGTGGGTGAAGCCGCCCTAAGGATCTTCCTTTAATTTCTTTGGAGTAATACTATACCATACTGGTCTTTGCTTTTAGTAATAAAACATCAAATTAGGTTTGGAGGGAACTTTGATCTTCCTAAGAATTGAAGTCGCCAAATTATTCTGACTGGTCTTTAATCTCCTTTAAGTCTTTGATTTATATTACTTGTTATTAAATGGAACGCATTAGTTGTCTGCCATTTCCTTTCCATCCCTTGCCCCACCCATCCCATCTCCAACCTTAGTCTTCCATTTCCTCCCGCCAGTCTCCATTGAATCAATGGTGCAGGACAGAAAGCCAGTCAGACTAATTTCCTTCTTTCCTTGCACTTCTCCCCACTTGTCATCTTTTAACTAGTCTTTTACAAGGATCCTCTGAAACCCCCTCTGTGCCCCAAGCACAGATCCCATTACTTCTGCTTTCATATCTCCTCAGGCGAAAGTGGAGGGTGCCTTTTGGGCCCTCATAGGTTGTCTCTGCATACACGAACCTAACCCAAATTTGTTTTGGTGCCAGAAAAATTGAGCTATATTTGAACAAAGTTACCGTGCAAACTGTACTGTGAACAACAGTTGGTTTAAAACACAAGGGGCAAGGAGGAGGATGCATTTCAAAAGCCTGATTAATGTGTTTAGAGCCAAATTAAGAGGAGTTTTCAGATCAAAAATTGGTTACCATTTTTTGTCAGTGTCTGATGCAGCCACTCATTCGGCCCTAGACTGGGTTAATAGGGTCATATTGTGAATGCCTCACTACAAAATGACTTGAGTCCAGTGAAATCTCATTAGGGTTAAGAATATTTCAGGGATCCTTTAATGTTTTGATTTTTGTTTTCTGAAATTGGATTTTATTTTATTTTATCTTATAATTTCAGTTCATCTAAATTGTGTGTTCTGTACATGTGATGTTTGACTGTACCATTGACTGTTATGGAAGTTCAGCGTTGTATGTCTCTCTCTACACTGGTACACTTAACTTGTGGAATTTTTATACTAAAAATGTAGAATAAAGACTATTTTGAAGATTTGAATAAAGTGATGAAGTTGCATTACAAAAAAAAAAAAAAGAAAAAGAAAATACCACATATTGAAAGATTCCATTTATATGAAATGTCTAGAACAGACAAATTCATAGAGATAGAAAGATTAGTGGTTGCCACAGACAAGGGAGAATGGGGCAGACTGCTCATGGGTATGGGTTTCTTTTTCAAGGGAATAAAATGTTCTGGCATTTGATGGTGATAACTACACAATGGCATTTGATGGTGATAACTGCAGTTACACTTTTAAAAGATGAATTTCATGGTGAGTTATATTTCAAATGGAAAAAAAAAGTTACGTAGGTCTGTAATCACTTATCCATATTTCTGAAATCTAAAATGTTCCAGAAATCAAACTTTTTTTCCTAACTCATTTGTTGATTAAACCTGACTTAAACTAATATGGGTCTTTTAAAAGTAACTCACTGTGAATATTAATTAATATATATTCACTGCAGAACTATTAATGTGCTTGAAAGAAAGTAAGAGGGCTGCTGCTCTGGTTCTTTTAGAGGGTATTATTTAATTAATATATTCATATATTCTAAAAAATGAAAAATTCTAAATTTTACGCTATGTTTGATCCAAGGATTTTGGCTAAGGATTTCTGAACCTATATTATTGTTATGAACTGAATATTTGTACCCACACACACTCTATAAATTTTATATGTTGGAGTCCCAACCCCAATGTGATGGTTTTAGAAGTAGGGTCTTTGGAAGGTAATTCAATTAGATGAGTTTATAAAAATGAGGCCCTGATGATGAAATTAATCTCCTTATAAGAAGAGAAGAGACCAGAACTAGCTTTCTTTCTGCCACAAAAGGACATAGCAAGCATGTGGCCATCTGCAAGCCAGGAAGAGGGAGCTGACCAAGAATCAAATCTGCTAGCAACTTCATCTTGAACTTTCCAGTCTATAGAGAAATAAATGTCTGTTCTTTAAGCCAGGGGTCCCCAGCCCCCAGGCCCTGAAGTACCAGTCCATGGCATAGCCACATAGCAGGAGGTGAGCGGCAGATGAGCAAGCATCACTGCCTGAGCTGTGCCTCCTGTCAGATCAGTGGAAGCATGAGATTCTAATAGGAGCATAAGCCCTTTTGTGAACTGCTCATACGAGGGATCTAGGTTGCAAGCTCCATATGACAATCTAATGATAAATACAATGTGTTTGAATAATATGATCTGTTAAATACATGTGTATACAACAGCAGAGAGGAAAAAAACAACAGTCTACTTGGATCTTAATAATCTAGGTAAGAAAATATATAGCAAGCATACAAATGGAATGGGTAAGGCTAGCTTGAATAAAACAAAGGGAACAAAGGGAATGCAAGGGAGACAGGAAATGTGAGAAGGTGTGATACATGCCTCAATAAAAGAAAGGTCCACTATTAAATGGGGGTAGAAGAGAAAGTTGCCTTTAAAAAAATAACTAGAATTTAAAATCAAGAACAATGCTTCACTGAAAAATTAAAAAGATAAGTCTCACTTGTGCCCACTAGTCTCCAGTTTCACTTTTCAGTGGTAATTACCATTAACAGCTCCGATGAATCACTCCAGAAATGGTATATGCTCACTGACACAACAATAGTAACAAAAAAAGTATCCACCACAATATTAGCAATCTGAACATTAGTTTCAGTAAAAATACAACACATTCTGAACATTTTAAAGGATTGCTAGAGATAGGATTTATTTGTAAAGAAAGACATAGTGTTCTTATTCCTTTCAATGGCTCCACAGTACTTTCTAGTATGGAAATAACAATTAATTAAGCCAGTCTCTTACCGATGAACTATGATTGTTTTCACAATGCAGTTATTAGAAGCAATAGTATAACAAACAAATATGATTTCTAAAAAAATTAATACTTTTATAGATAGATAGATAGATAGATAGATAGATAGATAGATAGATAGATTGCACTTAGGTTTTGGAGTACATGTGCAAAACATGCAGGATTGCTGCATAGGTACATTCAAGGCAATGTGGTTTGCTGCCTCCAAACCCCCGTCACCTGTATCTGGCATTTCTCCCTAAGCTATCCCTCCCCAACCCCCCACAACAGACCCCAGTGTATGATGCTCCCCTCCATGTGTCCATACGTTCTCATTGTTCAACACCCACTTATGAGTGAGAATAAGTGGTGTTTGATTTTTTTGTTCTTCTGTCAGCTTGCTGAGAATGATGGTTTACAGATTCATCAATGTCCCTACAAAGGACAAGAACTCATCATTTTTATGGCTGCATAGTATTCCATTGTGTATATGTGCCACATTTTCCTTGTCCAGTCTAAAGTCGATGGGCATTTGGGTTGGTTCCAGGTGTTTGCTATTGTAAACAGTGCTGCTATGGATATATGTGTGCATGTGTCTTTATAACAGAATGATTTATAATCTTTTGGATATATACCCAGTAATGGGATTGCTGGGTCAAATGGAATTTCTATTTCTGGGTCCTTGAGGAATTGCCACACTGTCTTCCACAATGGTTGAACTAGTTTACACTCCCACCAACAGTATAAAAGTGTTCCTATTACTCCACATCCTTTCCAGCATCTGTTGTCTCCAGATTTTTTAATGATCGCCATTCTAACCGGTATGAGATGGTATCTCCATGTGGTTTTGATTTGCATTTCTGTAATGACCAATGATGATGAGCACTTTTTCATATGTTTGTTGGCCGCATGAATGTCTTCTCTTGAAAAGTTTATATCCTTCACCTACTTTTGAATGGGTTTATTTATATTTTTCTTGTAAATCTGTTTCAGTTCTTTGTAGACTCTGGATATTAGCCCTTTGTTAGATAGGTAGACTGCAAAAATTTTTTCCCATTCTGTTCGTTGCTGCTTCACTATAATGATTGTTTCTTTTGCTGTACAGAAGCTCTGGGGTTTAATTAGAGCCTGCATAGCCCTGGTAATTTGAAGCAAAAAGAACAAAGCTGGAGGCATCACACTACCTGACTTCAAACTATACTATAAGGCTACAAAATCAAAACAGCATGGTACCGGTATCAAAACAGAGGTATAGACAAAGGGAATGGAACAGAGGTGTTGGAGGCAATGCCACACATCTAAAACCATCTGTTCTTTGACAAACCTGACAAAAACAAGCAACAGGGAAAGGAGTCCCTGTCTAACAAATGGTGCTGGGGAAACTGGCTAGCCATGTGCAGAAAGCAGAAACCGGATCCTTTCTGACACCTTACACTAAAATTAACTCCAGATGGATTAAAGACTTAAACATAAGGCTAACACCATGAAAACCCTAGAAGAAAACCTAGACAAAACCATTCAGGACATAGGCATAGGCAAGGACTGCATGAAGTCCTAAAACACCAAAAGCATTGGCAACAAAAGCCAAAATAGACAAATGAGATCCAATGAAACTCCAGAGCTTCTGTACAGCAAAAGAAACAATCATTAGAGTGAACTGGCAACCATATACAGTCTGATGTTCATTAATGTACTTACTGCTATTGAATATACAGCTAACTTATTCAAAATAATAGATTTTGAGACATATATATTTTACCATAATAAAAAAACGAAGATATATATGTCCAAGATAATTACAAACATAAATTTATAATTCTCTGTATAAGCATAAGAAGTATATATGGTAAAATCTCAAGTTACATTTAAAATCTAATGACCTATAAGTAACCCAGGCCAATCAGTGGTATAAGCTCAAAGTATACTCTTCTGTCAGGGAAGAGTTTATTCAAGTATTTAATGAACATCAGACTGTATGCTTAGAAATATGTTCAATATTACATATAAATGCTGTTTTAAAGAGCTATTAACTTATGCTAATTAGGTGCTTATTTTTATAATTGTCTTCAGCAAAAAACTAATCTCCCTTCAGTTCCATGGTAGTATTTAAGAACTTGAAAAATCCTACATATAGAACTGTAACAGCAGCAGCTGCAATTTTCTGAGCTGTTTATATCAAAAGGAACTGCATTGCATACATTATTTCATTTAATTGCTACAACAAAATAAGGTGGGTATATAATTCCACTTTAAGAATGTGAAAAGTGAGATTCAAAAAGCTTAAGTAAGAAGAAGTTACATAGTTGGTGAGGAGCAGTCTGACTTGAATGCTAATGTTTAAGAAACACTAAATGAAAATTTGGCTTTCTATTTCTGAACTACACCAATTGTAGACAAACACAGAGGTGATGAATAAAAACTTTCATGTCTCATTTAAGGAAAAAAAGCAGTGATTATCTCATCACAATACATGTTAAACCCTCAATTACAGAATGATAAGTTTGTACCCCTAGAGATTCTTTTCAGGCATGCCTATTATCCTATTCCTAACGTAGGACCCAACACGGAAAGACAGGTAGAAATTTAGATCAATATTCAGAAATGACACATGTACTAACAAAAAGAATAATTGTTTCAGCCAATGAAATTAGGAAAGTAATAAAAGCAATTACAAATCTTGTAAGGAAGAAGTAAAACTGTCTTTTAGCAGTTGATATGATCATGTACCAAAAAACCTCCTAAGGAATCTACAATCAAGATACTAAAACTAAAACTAATAATTTAACCAGGTTACAGGATATAAAGGTAAGATAAAAAGACAAATTTTTACATACTAACAACAAATATTAAAAACTGAAATTAAACAACATAATTTGAAAGAGTATAAAAAATACTTAGAGGTAAATTTATCAAGATATTTGTAAGACCTCTACATTGAACACTACAAAACATTCCTGAGAGAAATTTAAGATGTAAATAAACAGATTATCATGTTCATAGACTAGAATATATCAATTTTCCCCAAAATTTACCTATAAAATTCAAAGTAATCCCATAGATAGCCAAGTGAATGTTTTGTGGCATCATAAATTGATTCTTAAATTTATATGAAAATGCAAAGGATTTGGCAAAGCCAAACAAATTTGAAAAAGGAAAATAAATCTGAAAAACTTATACTACCTAACTTCATGGCAGATTATAAAGCTCTAGTAATCAAGTATTAGCAAAAGACATGTAGATCAATGGAACAGAAGAGAGATTCCAGAAACAGACCCACAAATATACTACAAACAATCTATTTGACAAAACTTCCAAGGTAAGTCAATGAGCAAAGGATAGTCTTTACAAAAAATTAGGCTGGAACAATTAAAATAAAATAAATCTTAACACTTAAGTCATACCACAGCACAAAAGTAACTTAAGAGGGGCCATGATCCCAAGCATAAGACTTAAATCTACTAAATTTCTAGAAGAAAATGTTTGTTACCTTAGGACAGAAAATATGATACAAAATATGAGGACACAAAAATATGAACCAAAAATAGATATGTAAATTGGAATTCATCAAAATTTAAGAAAAATCTGAATTATAGTGTTAAGAAAATAAAAACAAAGAAAACTTGCCATGAACTAGATGATGTAATATATATATTTGAAAAAGTACTAGATCCAGACTATATAATGAATACTTATATGTTACTTATAATAGAAAACCTAATTTAGAAAAGAGTTAAACACACATTTTACAGAAAACAGCCAATAAGCATACAAAATGATGCTAAATATCATTAGTCACCAACGAAATGCAAAGCAAAACTGTGAGATGTTATTGCACATTCTTAAGAATAACTCTTAGACACTACATAAGAGTTGAAAAGAATGTGAAACAATGGGCAATCTCTTATTGCTGTGGGAATGCAAAATGGTGTAACCCTTTTGGAAAATACTTTGGCAGTTTCTTATAAAGTTAAACATTAGATCCAAAAATTCTACTCTTAAGTATTTACCCAAAAGAAATGAATGAAAGAACATACATACACAAAGATTGGTACAAAAATGTTCATATTAGCATTATTCATTATAGTCTCAAACCAGAAACAATCCAAATTTCCACCAACAGGAGTGAGTAAACGAACAAGTTGTAATATAGACACACATTGTAATACTACTGAACAATAAAACTGAATGAACCACCGGTCAAAAAACATATTAAATATTAACATGGGCAAATCTCAAAAACTGTGCTGTGCTAAAGAAGCCACCAGATAAAAGATTGTATACTCTATGATTCCATTTAAAACTCCAGAACACGTAAAACAACTCTAAAGACAGAAATGACATCAACAGTTACCTAAAGTCTGAGCTCAGGAAAGCAAGAGAGGGCACAAGGTAGATTTTTCAGGTGATGTGGATGTCCTACCTGTCTATACTTGGCAAAACCAATCTTTACACTTAGTAAAGTTGACTTGAAAATCCTTCTAAACATATGTTTGGTGAAATAGAACAAAGCATATTTAAAAGGCGGCAGCTGATTTTAGAAAACAGATTATAAATATTTATAAAAACCTAAAAACAATTTAGAATTAAAACTGGAGAGGGTTTCATCATACTTTCAGTGCTATGAAGACAAATCACCTTGGGGAAAAAAACTAGGGTGAATCTTTAACAAATTTATTCTAACAGAAGATTTTAAAAGTGATTACATAGAAAAACTAACTGATTATAGCATGCTTTTGAAAATCTCTTTCAAGCCAGGGGCTTTTTAGGGCGAGCAGTTAGTGCATTTCTTAGTAATTATAAAAGATGGAGAAAGCAGCAACAGAATTGAACCTGACTGATTCATCTTTGAATGGTTCTTTCAACCATTTCTTAATGTTTAAGTTCACGGGTACAAGTGCAAGTTTGTTACATAGGTAAACTTGTGTCACAGGGGTTTGCTGTACAGATCATTTCATCACCCAGGTACTAAGCAAGATACTCATTAGTTATTTTTCCTGATTCTCTCCATCCATCCACCCTCCACCCTCTGAAAGGCCCCAGTGTGTGTTGTTCCCCTCTATCTGTCCATGTTGAACCACTTCTTTTAAAATTTAGCCCTTTCTAGCTTCATTTTGCCTAACTTCAAGTTAGTGCACTCACTGAATTTTCTGAATTACAACTTGTAGGCTATTGTATACAAAGGTATGGTGTTTGAAATGCTTCCAGATATAGAAAGAGCATATTTGGAAGTCTGTGGCCAGCAGTTTTTGTTACTTTTTAGACAGAGACATATTAAAATTATCTTAATTCAATCAAGGTAGTAAAGTTTAGGTACCCTAGTCCCAAGAATTCAAAGCTGGCAGTAATGGTTTCTAAATAATGAAAATAATAATTTTCCATGTCGAATAATATCTTTTTACAAACTTTCAGAAACATTATCTAACAATGAAGTGAATTCTATTACTGTCAGTCAGGGTTCCTATAGTATTTTTTTTTTTTTAAAGAAAGAAAGAAAGAAAGAAAAGAATAATAAGAAAAAGAATAAAGAAGAGGAAGAAAGAGAAAGAGGAAGAGGGAGAGAGAGTTTTTTTTAATGGATTAAAGAAAGTCATTTTGTTTCTCACAGTTTTCACAACCCAAACAAATAGATAAATTCATAAAGAAAATGTCATACATACATAATTGGAATATTATTCAGCTTTGTTAAAAAAAAGGGGGAGGTGAAATCCTCTCATTTGTGACAATATGAATGCACCGGAAAGATATTATGCTAAGTGAAATAAGTCAGGCACAGAAAGACAAATACTGCACATTTACAGAAAAGTATAAACTTGAAGAATATTCCAGCAGCATATTGCAATACTTATGTACATTTTTATTTTAATTTCGCAACTATTGTAATACATTGCTCAGAAAAATTATGCACCTTGCCCAAACTACCAAAGAGAGCTATGATTTAAAACCATATCAAACCCCCAAATCCATTTTAAGTATCATGCTGTAATACCTCAAAAGGAAAGCTCAATCTCTCCAAGAGGTACTACATAAACTTGAGAAAAGAGTGACAGCATAATTTTTAAAGACTTAATTTACCTTCAGAGGACGCAGAGCGCCACAAAATTTTGTCCACCAGCTGTTTTCAATGAATTCTAAATGCCTCTCTCTCTTCTTAAGTGTTCGTAACCTTTCTTCAAATTGTTTTAAGGCACGTTTATCCCTTGCTGGCAAAGGTCGACCATCTTTGCTCTGCAAATAACAGAACAAAATAAAAGTTTTATCATTAACATCTTATTAAAGTACTTAGCAGATTCAGCAGATCAGGTAACAAAACCTTTTCAGGATGGACATTCCTCAGGCAAATTTACAAACTAAAAAAAACCTGACAACAGCAATATGACAATAAACATAGGATAACCAAGGTCAGCATCAAAATGTGGATGTGTGTACATTTATGCCTACCTTCTTCTTGATCGCAATATATGGTAGAGTTATGCTCCACAAAAGTATTTTTTATAAGAAGAGTTAACTACTATGCACGTTGTTCAATTATTCTCCATCCTCTCTAAACTCACTGTATCACTTATTTTAATATATTTGGCTCTGCCCCTTCCCTCTCTCTAGTCAAGCTGTTGTGTTACCTGAAATGATGCTTCTCAGCCCAATTAAAATACTAACAGAATAAAGCAACACAAGTACAGATAGCATGCAGAGGTTTTTGTAACAATTACTAAGAATTGATGCTTCCTTGTTTTCCAACTATTTTGGCAATTGAGTCAAGTTTTCTTTGGCCAATCTATCTCACAGGTAATTTCCGTCTATTTTTACATGACACTTTCTGTAATCATGAGCAGCACCTTTCTCATCATATCTCACAGACACACTTTCTCAATGAACTCTCCAGCTCCTGTCTTCAATTGGCCACAAAAATAAGACAACTACTAAATATGGAAAAGGTAAACTATAAAATTGTTTTTATTGGAAGGAAAAAGAAAAATATTTGTACAGGATTACATTTTTAAAATGCAAATACATTAGATATTAGAATGTCTTTAATATTTCTGTTAAGGTTGAAATAGGTTCCTAGCAGATACACAACATATTGCTCTCCCGTGTATTCTAATGCAGCCTCAATTTGAAAACATAAATATAATGCAGAGAATACCTATGTAACCTTTAATAAAGAGATTTACAGTTACAACAATCTCTTTACATATCTGCATCATTATGCTCTTCTAAATCCTCTTCCACATCTTATCTTACTGTTTGTCAAACTTCATGCATAAGCAGCACTTAAAAAGTTTGTTAAATACAGACTTCTAGGCTCAATCCCCAGAGGATGTGATTTTGTAGGTCTTGAGTGGGGCCTAGAATTTGAATTTCTACCAAATTTCTAGGAGATGCAGATGCTACTAGTCCAGAGACCACACTTTACATACTCCAGAATATATTTCATTCCTTTAAGTCAAGTACATTGGGTATTATCACTGGATTCCAGAACACAGAAACTAAGAGGAATTTTCTGAAGATCAGAGGAATAAAATGAGCACTCTCTTCTGGAAGACAAATCCAGGTAACAATACTTCAAGTGTGTGGTATGAGAAGGATTTGGCACTTTATATCTTAACCATAACAATATTCCCCAAAATTTCCATCATCTTATCAAAAGAATACTAAAAATGCGGTAATTTTGTCTCACTGCTGGTGTTCAGCATTTCAGAAAAAAAATTAGTAAACTGATTTAAGGATCCACTTGAAACAAACCCGTTATCTGCCTATTTGGTGAATGCTGCAGTGGAATGAGGGATGAATGTCCATTTCGCCTTGCCAATTGACTAAACAAATACATAAGAATAATTTTGGTCAAGGAAACAAATACTAAGATGTACACTCAGCAGTGGACAGCTATCTCATTTGAAAGAAAAAAATGTGGTTATATACGTTAAAATGTAGTTCAAAGGTATGAGAAACTCACTGTTATTTAAAAAAAAAAAAAAAAGGGCAAAACATGAAAGCTTCCCTTCACACTGTCTCACTGTCTCCAGTTACCGTATTACCATTCCTCTTTCCTACAGTTTTCACTGTTAAGCAGTTCAATATCCTTCTGCAAATTTTCTATTTATTTACACACACACACCCACAAATACACACATATTCAGATACATTTAAGATTTCTTGTTATACACAATAGGTAACATTTCTTGAAAACCTTTCTTTTTTAAGTTCAGGGGTACGTGTGCAGGATGTGCAGGTTTGTTACACAGGTAAATGTGTGTCATGGGGTTTGTTATACGGATTATTTCATCCCCCAGGAAGCAAGCCTAGTATCTACTAGTTATTTTTCCTAATCTCCCTCTTTCCACCCTCTGACCTCCAGTAGGCCCTAGTGTGCATTGTTCCCCTCTGTGTGTCCATGTGTTCTCATTATTTAGCTTCTACTTGTGAGAACACGTAGTATTAGATTTTCTGTTCATGTGCTGGTGTGCTAAGGATAATGGCTTCTAGCTCCATCCATGTCCCTACAAAGGACAGGATCTTATTCTTTTTATGACTGCATACTATTCCATAGTGTATATGTATCACATTTTCATTATGCTGTCTACCACTGAAGTGCATTTAGGTTGATTCCATGTCTTTGCTATTGTGAATAGTGCTGCAATGAACATTTGTGTACATATCTTTTTCTCAGAATGCTTTATATTCCTCTGGGTATATATCCAGAAGTGAGATTGCTGGGTTAGATGATAGCTCTGCTTTTAGTTCTTTGAGGAATCACCATACTACTTTCCACAACGGTTGAACTAATTTACACTTCTACCAACAGTGTATAAGAGTTCCCTTTTTTCTGCAACCTCGCTGGCATCTGTTATTTTTTGACTTTTTAATAACAGCCATCTGACTGGTGTGAGATGGCATCTCACCAGTTTTTATTTTTATTTCTCTAATGATCAATGATGTTGAGCTTTTTCATATGATTGTTGGCCACATGTATGTCTTCTTTTGAAAAGTGTCTTGAGCACCTTTCTTGTGCAAAAAACTGGTCTTCTCTTTTTATATTTATTTGCCATAAATCTTCTGAATAACTCTTTGAGGCAGATAATAGTATATTCATTTATTAAATGAGAAAAAAAGGCCTACAGATGTTACGTGCACAATCAGTAGAGCCAGATTTTGAATGGAGATCATCTGATTTTGCAAGACGTACTCTTCAAGCTATATATAGATTTATAAATATATCTCATTCCTTTTCATCACTGCACATTACAACATGGTATCTAGATTTAACAAATAGCTTATTTTGAACATTTGCATTATTTCCTTTTTTCGTTTTTGTTGAGGGCCATTGACAATGTGCCATAAACATCCTTATATACCTGGGTACAAACATGTACGTATAATTCAGTAGGATAATTTCCTAGAGGTAAACTGTTAGATTAAACATTAATTATTAAAAGGTATGTATCTATACGTACAGGCACATGTCAAAATATTCAATTTTTTTAAAAAGTTGTATTTTTTATACACTCAAAGTCTATCCCCAAATTCTGATAAAAAATTGACAGAGATAAAAATTTAAAAGCAGTCCAAATAATTTTTTAAAATATACTGAGTTGTTCTACTTTTCACATCTCTAATCACTAAGGTTACCAACCATCTTGGTTTTAGCTCTGAAAGTCTCATGTTCTGGATATCCCTGGGGTCCCAGATAAACTGAGATGCCTGGTCAACCTACTAATTACTAATTAGCTGAAGCATCATTTCATATTTTTACTGCACAGTATAGTTTCTCCTTTTATGAGCTACCTATTTGGATCCTTTTTTCATTAATTTTGTGTTGCCTGCACTTTTTCTTACTGACTTAAAGATGCTCTTTACATATCACTTGTATTGCAGATTTTCTCCCATGTCATCATTGCCTTTTAGCTTTCTCTTTAATGTCCTTTATCAGTAAATAAAACTTGCAACATAAAAATTTAAAACTCACCAATTGTCTCTTAATTAGCACCAAGGTGTTTAGAAAGATCTTGTCTACAGCAAGAAAAATTTTACCTTCACTTTCTGCTGTTTTATAAATTTTATATTTAAAAATTGATTTTTATTTGATGAGATTTTATGCAAATTTCATTTTTACCTTTTATAGATTATATTATTTTATAGATTATATTTAATTATATTGAACCAAAACTTAAGAAAATTGTTATTGCCACAATATTAAATCTCCCCAACTATGAATTAATGAAATTCTCCATTTGTTCAGGTCTTCTATTACATATTTCAGTAAATTTTATTATTTCTCTTTTTTTTTTAATTTTTTTTTTTGAGATAGAGTTTCGCTCTTGTTACCCAGTCTGGAGTGCAATGGCGCGATCTCGGCTCACTGCAACCTCTGCCTCCTGGGTTCAGGCAATTCTCCTGCCTCAGTCTCCTGAGTAGCTGGGATTACAGGCACATGCCACCATGCCCAGCTAATTTTTTGTATTTTTAGTAGCGATGGGGTTTCACCATGTTGACCAGAATGGTCTCGATCTCTTGAACTCATGAACCACCCGCCTCGGCCTCCCAACATGCTGGGATTACAGGTGTGAGCCACCGCGCTCAGCCAAATTTTATTATTTCTATCAGGAAGATCTTGAATTTATTATTTTATAGTTTGTAGCTATTGTGAATGGGATTATTTTCTATTATATCTTCCAACTAATTAATGATTTTTATCTTTACATCTAGGCACTGTGATAAACTCATTAGGTCTATTAGTGTGTCAACTGATTATTTTAGATTATCTTGGTAGATGATATTTGCCAATAAAAAACATTATTTTCCTTTTTTTCCCCTCCTCTCCCTGCTTATATGTAAATTCTAAATTATTTCTCATCTGACTCAGATTGCCATAAATATGCTAAAAGTAACAATGATACTAACACTACTCTTCTGTATCTGACATTAATGGGAATGTTTCTATTCTTTCACGATTAAGTATGCTCATTAAAGGCTTCCCTTCCGTATTATCCTTATTTTGAAAAGACTCTTTTTTTTTTTGTTTTTTTTGAGACAGAGTTTTGCTCTTGTTACCCAGGCTGTAGTGCAATGGCGCGATCTTGGCTCACCGCAACCTCCGCCTCCCGGGTTCAGGCAATTCTCCTGCCTCAGCCTCCTGAGTAGCTGGGATTACAGGCATGCACCACCATGCTCAGCTAATTTTTGTATTTTTAGTAGAGACGGGGTTTCACCATGTTGACCAGGATGGTCTCGATCTCTTGACCTCATGATCCACCCGCCTCGGCCTCCCAAAGTGCTGGGATTACAGGCTTGAGCCACCGCGCCCGGCCGAAAAGACTCTTTTTGAAAATGTAACTACAAATTGGCTTTTAGCAAATACTCTGACATCTACTAAGATGTTTATATTTCACATTTAATCTCAATATACTAAACTGCTTTAATATATTTTCTAATGTATCATGCTTACATTTCTGAGATAAACCTAATCTGATTATGAAATATTCTCTTATTATAGCATATGTTTTCAATTGCTTTTATTTTTGAAACAGCATCTTGCTCCATCATCCAGGATGGAGTGCAGAGGCACGATCATGGCTCACTGCACCCACAACTTTCTGGACTCAAGTGATCATCCCAACTCAGTCTCCCAAGTAGCTAGGACTATAGGTGCATGCCACAACACCTACCTAAGTTTTTGTATTTTTTTGTAGAGATGGGGTTTCGCCATATTGCCCAGGCTGGTACCAAAACCTGAGCTCAAACAATACACCCACCTATGCCTCCCAAAGTGCTGGGATTACAGGTGTGAGCCACCATACCTGGCCACTTATATTTTATTTATATTAAAATATTTGCTTCTACTTTCATAAGAAAGCTGATATATGGTTTCCTTTTTGTGTGTGCTGTTATTGCCTAGTTTATGATAATCATACCAGCTTAGGAGAAGAATTTTGAGGACTTGTCATTTTTTCCCATCATCTTTGAATAAGATTTATCTGTTACTTGAAGATGATAGAGAAAGAAAAACTTTTGACTGTAATTTTAGAGGTACATTTAATTGGCAGGGGGTTACATGTAATCTTTAGCTCATTCAACTAGTACATAAAACTTGAACATAAATATTATAATAAAATATATTATATATGAAATGATACCTGAGAACTAGTAAGACCCTGATCATACATAAGAAAAACTTTTGCTTTATAAGTGTAGAATAATGATAGAAATTCTCAAGTTGTTAGTGTCCTACATTACACAGAACACAAATTTTTAAAAATACAGACATGGTTCTATAAGGATACTGTATTAGTCCATCCTCAGGCTGCTATAAAGAACTACTGAAGATTGAGTACTTTATAAAGGCAACTGGTTTAATTGACTCACAGTTCCACAAGGCTGGGAAGCCTCAGGAAACTTACAATTATGGCAGATGGGGAAGCAAACATGTCTTTCTTCACATGGTGGCAGGAAGAAGTGCCAAGCAAATTGGGAAATGCTCCTTATAAAGCCATCAGACCTCATGAGAACTCACTCATCATGAGAACAGCATGAGGTTAACTGCCCCCATGACTCAATTACCTCCTACTGGGTCCCTCCCGGGACATAGATTATGGGAACTGAATTCAAGATAAGATTTGGGTGGGGACACAGCCAAATCATACCAGATTATGTCACAAAAAACTCAAACAATGTAAAAAGTTACGTGATTGATAATGTCTAAGTTATATCAGAAAGCAGCTCAAAGACAAAGTAGTTTTATGCTTCCCAATGACACCAAAACACCAACTCACTTTTGATTTAATCGTTTGGATGTGTTGTTCTACTTCTTCAATGTCCTCAGTGTTTTCTAAACGTTCATAAGCAGCGCTTCTAGTGCCTTTTATCAGATTTAAAGGCAACGCAGACATGCCATAGGCCTAAAAGAAACAAAATTGAAATGTTTTAGGAATAATGTTTCAAATATACACAATTTTAGGTTAAAAATGGCTTTTAAAGTCGTAACATAAGAGTCAGCAGTTGTGAAAGATTACAGTTACTGAAAATTGTGGTATATAAGAGTGAACATTATATTGGCTCATAATTCTCCTTATTTCGCATTTACATTTAAACAGAGGCAAACTTATAACACGATTCCTCAGAGGACAAGTTGCAAATTTACTGTGAATTTACTGTACAATACTTTATCAGAGTAATGACTACAACGTCAGACTAATTGAAGGTTAAGATAGTATAAATTAGTAAAAACAATTTTAAAATGATTTTCTGTAAAAAAATTTATTCCAAGTATACTTAGTAAACCTTTAATATATACATGTTATTTGATTAGCATACAAACTTTAACTTATTAATCAATATTAAGAATACACATGTCATTATATATACTACCCAATTCCATATTCCAGTCCCAAATGACAGCTTTTTATTATAACCATTAATAATACTTAATGGCATTTGCCATACAACAATTATTCAGAATCATTACTGATGGTACTTCCTTAGGAGAAATACTGACAACTATAATCTCCTGGTTGCAGCAGCAAACTCAGAAGTGGATACAACATTATGTACTTAAATGTTTTTCATTTTCCTTCTGAGCACACTTTACCCAGTCCCCCATGTAGTTAGGCCATGATATTGAGCTCAGGACAATAAATGCAGGCAGAAGTGAGAAATGTCACTTTTTAGACATAATCCCAAACATCAAAATATCCTGGGTGATCCTGAATGCTTTTTCTCATGCTCTCTGCTACCTAGCTGTCAATTCCAAGAATGACTTAAGATAACTTTAGTGTTAATTTTAATTACTTTAATATTCTAATATTCTTCATTAAGTCTCCTTTATGCAATGATTAAATATTGGTTAAAGTACAATTCAAATAGCAAAGCATAAATTCTAACAAATCAGCTTTTTTTTTAATTAGGGGAGAAGAATAAAAAACACAAATGAAAAATATCCCAGAAATCAACTAGTTCTACATGTAATATCAATTCTACAACATACTGTATTTAGATACTTAGCTAGTTGAAATTATTATCCAATATAGAAATCCTTGTATTTCCAAAGGAGAAACACTTTAAAAAAAAACCTTGCACTTCAAATATTATTAAAACATAAGTTAATATTCTCATTATTTCCCTTTCATCCCAAAAAAGGAAGGGGTGGAGGAAGATTCCGTTACTATTAGATGAAAATGCAATTTGGATACAGTACAGTTTGAGTATCCCTTATCTTAAATGACTGGGACTAGAAGTGTTTTAGATTTCAGAATTTTTTGGTCTTTTAGTATATTTGCATTATTTAGCATCCCTAATCTGAAAATCCAAAATTTGAAATGCTGCAAGGAGAGATGAAACAAGATGGTAGAATAGATGCCTACACCATTCATCTTCCTCACTGGAAAATCACACTGTAACATCTACACACAGAAAAGTACTGCCACAAGAACCAAAAATCAGGTAAGCAATCACAGTACCTGGTTTTAACTTTATATCACTAAAAAAGGCATTGAGGAGGGCAGGAGAGACAGTCTTGAATCACCAATGCCATCCCTCCCTCATCCCTCAGAAGCAGCCATGAGGCAGCATGGAAGGAGAATATTTTCAGTTTCAGAAGGGAGAGAGCACAGTGACTCGGGGGATTTTACATTGAACTCAGTGCTGCCCTGTCACAGTGGACAATAAAGCCATGCTTGGCTCAGCTAGTGCCCATGTATAGAAGGAACATTTGCACCAGCCCTATCCAGAGGGGAATCACCCATCCCATTGGTTGAAACCGGAGTTTCTTGGCAAGGTTTGCCACTGTGAACAAAGTGCTCTGGCGTCCTAGGTGAACTCGAAAGGCAGTCGAGGAAACAAGGACTGCAATTCCTAGACAACTCCTACTGGTAGGCTAGGCTTAGAGTGGACCAGGATGGCATGTGACCTACGAAGACTGCAGCTAAGGGAGTGCTTGCACCATCTCTCTCCCAACCCCAGGCAGTGTAGCTTACCTCAACAAAAGTGGCTCTTTCCTTTGGCTTGAGGAAAGGGGAGGAAAGAGTAAAGAGAACTTTGTTTTGCATCTTGGATACCAGCACGGCCACAGCAGGATACTGTGGCAGAGTCATAAGGCCCCCATTCCAAGGCCTAGCTCACAGATGACATTTCTAAACACACCTTGGGCCAAAAGGGAATCTGCTGCCTTGAAAGGTAGGTAGGATTGATTAGCTGCTGAGTGAAGAGCCCCTGGTCCCTGAATAACCAGCAGTGTTACCTACAGAGTGTGTTATGGACCTTGGGCTCTGAGATACACTGGCTTCAGGGGTGACCCAGCACATTCCCAGCTATGGTGGATATGGTCTGAGAAAAGTAAGGGGGATTTTGTCTTGCACCTTAGGTACCAGCTCAGCCACAGTAAAGCAGAGCCAACAAGTGGGCTCTTGGGGTCCTCAAGTCAAGTTCTAGGCTCTTAGAGGACAGCATCCCTAGACATGCCCTGAACCAGAAGGGAATCCTGCAGGCTGAGTCTCGGGCCTGGCAGCAATCATCACAAGTGATCGGAAAAGCCCTTGGGCTTTAACTGAACTTTGGTGGTGGCCTGGTAGAACCCCATGTAACAGTGCTGGTGGTGGCCACAGGGAGAGACTCCTCTGCCTGTTGAAAGGGTAGGGAAGAACAAGAAGGACTTTGTATTATGGTGATGTGTCAGCTTACCCATAGATCATCAGGTAAACTGCTAAGGTTTTTACTCTAATCCCTGGCTCTCAGACAGCATCTCTGGACACACCCAGGACCTGGTGGAGGAACTTGACACCCTGAAGGGAAAGGCCTTAGGGAAGATCCAGTGCTGTGCTGGCTTCAGGTCTGACTCAGAGCAGTCTCAGTGCTGTTTGCCACAGGAGTGCTTGCATTGTTGTACTGGCCAGAGCATAGAAAGTCAACACCAAGACAAAAGTATGCCAAATCACAGGGTCTTTATTGCTGGTGGCCATGGAGGACTTGCATCTCTTCAACCCATGGCCCCAAAAGGAGGGTGTCAAGACATTTTATACCTGTAAAACCATCTCGGGGGTGAGGGTGAGGGGCTCCAGACATTCTGAGGGCCAGGGGACTTTGGACATTCTGATTGTTACTTAAGTGGTTTACAAAAGTCAAGATAAGCATTTGTTTACACATTGTCTGGGTAGGGTGGAAATCACAGACCTTAATTACTTATTACAAGTTGCAGGGGCCAAGATGGCATGGGTTTGGACTGCTTGCCTGTCACATTAGGGTTACAGAGAGCAGTTTCAATAGAAAGCCGAAGTATGGTTGAGGTATGCAGTTTTATGGGGCTTTTTACCATGTCACAGCTTTACCACACTCTGAAATCCAGGTGGCTCAGTGCAGAGAGACTGTTTGCTTAAGAGAAAATAAGGGAGAAAAAAAACTCAAGAGCTTCTGTGTAGTAATCCAGAGAATTCCTTCAGATCTTATTCTGTGGGTCACGATGGCCAGGGGGAGACCTATGTTAATTCTAGCTAAATAATTATAAGCATGCTTGGCTCAGAGTGTACTGAAGTTTATACACCAAACTAAACTATATTATTGGTGCAGTTAATGAGAAATCAGGCAGCAACAGGAGGCCTAAGGTAAAGACCATGGAGAGCGCAGTAACACCAGGGAACACTGCGGGATGGTTGCGGAGCAGGGAATACTGCTCTGTTCCCACAAATGCCTTCTCAGCATGGAGACTGCAGGAGGGCCTCATAAAGAGGGCTTATGCAAAGATCTCTGAGAAGGGAGGTGACCTCTGTTCACAAGATCCCGGAGGGTCTTTGCAGATGGGAGCTGGCAAGGAGGAGAAAAGCCTTGCAGGGCAGAGATCACCGAACGCCTCAGGCTCTGCCTAGGTTCTGGGAATATGGAGTGATTTTAATTGCTCTATGTCCTCAATGCTCAGGAGATAAAAGCCCCTTGATACATTGGGTGTGGTCAGACCAGGTGGCTCCTCATTTGCTATACTTCTGATGCAGCCGCTAAACTCAGAGTACTAGTTTAGCATGTCTTAGAAAAATCTCAAGTGCTGTTAAATACTCAGATAGCAAGTTTAGTATGACTTAGAAGGATCACAGTGCTCCAACTCCCCAGCTATCTTAACTACCCCTTTACCCTCCCCTTCCATGCCCATAAGATCAATGAGATTACGCATATAATAAAAGGGTTTGGAGCCCAGAACTCCGGCCAATGCAGTTCCCATGCTTGGGTTGGTCCCCTAAAGCCATGCTATAAATTCACTCATGTCTCTGTCTTTATTTTCTTTTCTCAATCCCTCATCACCCCTGGGACTAAGGGCACCCACGTATGGGGTTGGGGCTGGTACCCAATGTTATCCAAGACCACCAAGTTGGTACCTCTATGAGTCTGCAAAAACCACAGTGTTAATGGTCTTGGGGCCCAAGCCCCTTCAAATAGCTGGAAAGCCTTCCTAAGAAGGACAAACACAAACAAGTCCAAAATGTGAAGACTATATTAAATATCTAACTGATCAATGCCCAAACACTGATGGACATCTATAAACATCAACACCTTCCAGGAAAATGTGACCTCACCAAATGAACTAAATAAGATACCAGGAACCAATCCTGGAGAAACAGGGATATATAAACTTTCAGACAGATAATTCAAAACAGCTGTCTTGAAGAAACTCAAAAAAATTCAAGAGAACACAGAGAAGGAATTTGGAATTCTAGCAAATAAATATTTTTTAACAAAGGGATTGAAATAATTAAGAAGAAGCAAACAAGTAGTCTAGAGCTGGAAAAATGCAACTGACATACTGAAGAATGCATCGGTCTCTTAATATTAAAACTGATCAAGCAGAAAAAAAATTAGTGAGTTTGAAGACAAGACTATTTGACAATACATAGAGGAGACAAAAGAAAAATTAAAAAAAAAA